TGGTGCAGGTGTCTATTGTGAACTCTTCTCTTTCTACGCATCAGTGGGACGCGATAGATCCGCTTTTGAAGGAGAAATAGAGGTGCCAATTATGTTGCCTGGATACGAAATTCACCAAAGTGGTGATACTTTCGGACTCACAGTCAGCAATAAACTCAATTGGAAGTGGAGAACCACCCAAAACAGCTGAGATAAAGGAATGTAGAAAACCCTATCAGCTGCTGAGAGAGAAAAACAAAACAGTGGTCCTACAATGGATTTCTGGTCACTGTGGCATTAAAGGCAATGAGCTTGCTGACACACTTGCTAAGAAGGGGACAACGATTTTGCAATGCATGGACCGCCCGATGTCTTTCCACACAATGAAGGCCTTAATCAGAAGAGAATTCAAGACCTCATGTGAGTTGCTCTGAGAGAGAGAGAGGGAGAGAGCCTTTGTGACATCCTTGACGCCTCTCCGCATGCTTTGAGCATTAAGAAATTATATAACAAACTGTGCGCAGACAACTTTTAACCTTCTCCATTTCACACCATCCCTCGGCATGCTTCTAACAAAGATTTATCTCAATTGGCAAGCGTTTTTATGTTTATCATTAGCCCATTAGTTGACTACAGGCTTCACAGAGAGGAAGGAAAATCAACGTGAAAAAAGTCAAGAAGAGGGAAGGAAAGGAGGATTGTTTCAAAGATGTAAAAGAGTCAGGCCAGCGCAAAGGTAGAGGAAAAGGCAAGATGAGTACTGTGTAAGGGGCCGAATATGACAAACAGTCGGGCCGTAGTAGTTTGTTGTCAGAAGTCAACTGCCGATTTATAGACTTTTTTTGCCGTATGAGAATACGTTGCCCAGGGTGCACCACATGGAGGTAAGTCTATCGCGAACCCCTTTTAATTGCTTATTGTGGCTGCAAGCAGCTTTATAATTACACTTTTATGCTTTTTGATCAGGGATGTGCGAAAGACTTACCTCCGCGTGGTGCATCCTGGGCAACGTATACTCATACAGCAAAAAAGTCTATTTATCGGCTGGTGATTTCTGACTTCAAACTACCATCACCCCACTGTATGTCATTTTCAATCACTTCCAACATACTTATCCTACCTTTCTCTGATTGTGTCTGTCTGTCTTTTTAACATCTTTAAACACTCTTCTGTTCACCCCTCCCTTGACTTTTTTCGATTTGATGTTCCTCTTCCTCTGTGAAGCCCGAAGTCAACTAAATGGCTAATGATAACTATCATAAAGCCTACCATTTGATATAAATAAATAAATAAATGCTTTTCGATCAAAAAATGCCTTTGAAGTAGAGAGAGATAATAAAAGAGTTATTTCAATTAATACTATGCTTTATTAGCATATTTCACAACAATATTCACCCATTACACAATCTTTGTCACACACAGGCAGTTGAAATCTATTCATCCAATGTTTCATTTGGATTCCTTCTGTCTCTCTCTCACTCTATCTCTCTCAAAAATGAATTCACTATGTAAACTATGGTGTGTCAATAGCTTTAAGAGATTAATAAATGCTAGGAATAAAATGTAAAGAATATTGGAGTACATTAAACTATAGAAACCAGTGCAAGATTTGGGTTTTCGATATTTGGCTGAGGGGAAGTGGGTTTTGCGTCATGGAGTTCACAGGATTTACAGATTCATTACCATTCTAAAGTTGATAAAATTGCGTGTCGTTTCACAGTTTTCGGAAATTTAGTGACATCGTTTTCCATAATCTTCACATCTACGGTTCGTGGAGCATATGCTTACAGAGTATGCTTAATGTTGGAACTGAGACAGATATTCTTCTCGAAAGTAGCTCTATTATTCTTGCTGGGGCTCCAATCTAATGTCTGGTGGTTGTAGGAGTGAAGTGAAGTGAATGTGTGTTCATTTTCCAAGTGCCAAGTGCGTACGAAGTGGGGACAACTCGTATTTTCAGAAACAAGGCAAATGAAATACAGTTGGACACAGAAACGTTTGTTGTTTCTGTGACACGTTGACACAGAGTCTAGTCATTGAAATACACCTTTAACTACCATGACCATGATAGGTTTATTGATTTGATGAGGTGACTCAGAACTCACAACTGCACTTGCACTTGCAATGCAAAACAACACAACCGGCTCCACGCTTGCATTTGGCCCTTAAAGGTTCAGAAGTACGCGACACATTACAGCATGTTCGATTGTACATTCGGTTCCAATTTACCATTTTTGCCCTCCGCATTAGCGCATTATGAAAATATGATTAATTTTCCAGTTGATTGTTCTATTGCATTATATTCCATTCTGTTTGCAGGCGATTTTGCACTTGTCTTTGTTATTTCAGCGTGAATAAATGAATGGAAAACAAAACTACTATTCGGATGCAATCGGTAGACCTTCTCTAAGCCATAATTCCATCTTTTATCCATTCAATCTGAATGTATTTAAAGGAACTGTTTGTTGTCCTTCTGTCTAATAGAGTTTGAGGTACTTTCCATTTATCTTACTCAAGACAAAGAGTGAAACCTTGACTGCAGGATAGAATGATGTCAACAAGTATTGGCAGACCTTAAAAAAATTATCAAATATTAAGCAAATAGCTGATTGATAGTTCTGTAAAGTGGTATTGTCACAATATTATCTAAAGACCAGTTGGCGATTCGCGATGTGTCCATTGCTCAAAAAAATTAAAATAAGTAATCGTAAGTTCATCTTAATTATCCAATCAATAATAATTGTAATCAGATTAATGATTGAAATTCAGTTGAGTCTATGCAAATATTTACCATAGTTCTAGATACTGGTTGTCTTTATTACCAGTGCTAAACATTTGACAATTGACAAGAAATTTTATTATGAAGACTGTCGGGAAAATGTGCGTTGACTTAACGGCACATAAGCTAATTAAAATGTGGCAATATAAGAGGTGATTTGATCACTCGATGATGATGATAACAAAGGAGCATTTATGAAACCAGTGCCTCAGTCATCACCGTAGTTGTAAAATTTCTGTCCACCTTCAGTTGGATCGTAACCGAGTGTGCTTCCTAAAGCCTGGCTGTCCAAGGCCCCTGTGTTCGACATCTTTGATTTACCTTCATTCAGGGGCTAAAAGGTTATGGCAAGTATTAATGATTAAATTGTGCAGTAGCATAATAGCATGTCTTCATTCATTCAATTCTTCATCAAAAAGGTACCTTTGATATCAACTACTTCGATATATAGTACTACTTAATTTTATAATTAGTAAGTAGCATAGCAGATGTGTTGCACCAAAAGCGAGTAACCCAAACTCCATCTCTTACCAAAAAGTTTTACAAGTATGCCCACAATTAGCTAATGGTATTACCTGAAGTTCTCCACGACTAGGTGGTTTACGTAGGAGGAGCAAGAGTGGACTGTATAGAGCCGCGACAATTGCAATACCCCAGATTGTCCTACAATATTCATTAATACGTATTATAACTTTCACCAAAAATCCAAACATCGTTAAGAACTTACCAACTAAATCCTGCCGACTGGGATACAAAGCCCCCAACCGCTGGCCCTAAAATAGTACACATCACACTTCAATGCCCATAAAAAAAGCACGCGGCTGATTAAAACAGAGCTCGGAAGATATGAATTTACCAATAGCGAAACCGAGACAAAAAGCAACATCGGCGATTGCGTACACACTACCATAAATCGCCACATGACGAAGATCCACAAGGATACCCATTTGTGGTATCATTGAAGCGTCGACCATTCCTAAAACCAATGCAGAGGATAAAGAAATTGGCTTGCTAGCGGATTACAAAAGTTACGACAGGTAGACTTTCGTTAGTCGATGACCCAAAAATTAACTCGAAATGTAAAATTTGAAACCGTCCGGACACTTTTTTAACAAGATATAGCAGTTACATGACAGAGGAGTTTGAATACTCATTATGCCACTAATACTGATAATATTTTCATAAACCTGAATTAGAGAACATCCATTCTTTGGATTTTCGAGCATTCGGAATGAATAAATGAATGTTCTCACCCATCGCTAATCCAAGCCCAAAGTTCGGCACTATAAGATGGCCCAGTTGTGTACTGAAGGGAATCTGCAATTAAAGGGAGTTATGAGTGTAATAAATAAAAATTAATTTTAAATTTTTAAAAAGGCAAACATTAGTCATATTTTGTAAGGCCAATAGACTCACAGCAACAAGGCAAATGCTGCATAGTATCATTCCCAAAAATGCACTCAACCAATGCCCAATCTTATGGGCAAGTGTGCCAAAGAGATTGGTTCCAAGAAGATAAGAGACACTTGCTGGAAGAAAGGCGATTCCCTGTGCCCAACTGTCCGCATTCATGTGTTCTTTCATCCACATTGGCAGAGATGGTTCGAGAATGGCTATTCCAATATTTCCGAAAGTCAATGCTCCTGTTGAGAAATTTTTGTGAATATTAGTAGTTTTAGTACATGTTAGTAAGTAGTACGCTTGTTTGGAGGTTACCTGCAGCCACTAGAATATATGGATCTTTTAATAACTTGAGAATCGGTGCACCACGTTCATCTTCTGGCCGAATTGATGGTTTTAATACCACAATCTGAAGTACTAAAAGATAATTTTATCCATTAGTTCAAAATAATTAAGTGTCATTTATTTAATTTGAATTTCTTTGTATTACCCCCATTAAGCAAAGCAAGCACTGCAAGAATTAAGAATGGTGCTCTTTTATCGACGAATTGGTAAACGATGCCACCAAACGTTGGCCCAACTGAAAAGTATAATTAAAGTATCATTTCATTAATACTATTATTTATTTCATTATTACTATTGAATTAAAAAAATATTGAAGATATTTTGAATTTTTTTGTCCATATCTTATATATATTTTAAAAAAGGGTTACGCATGTGATAACTTTTAACGCCAATTATGGAGTTTTGAACTGTTCATTATCACAAATAATACCATTGATATTATTAATCTACATGTTCATCATATTGGAAGGCTCAAGATGCATTTTTCAAAACCATTCTCCAGTGTCTACAAAAGCCTATTCATTTAATTCATTTCGTTAATTTCCACTTTCAATTTGTACTTGAATTGGGAAAAATTCTCACTTGGGACGCTCAAATTTAGAAGTCTACTAAATTGGAATTATCGATTCTTTTCGTATCATGCTATATAAAAAAATATTAAATCTGCCAACCACACATTTATATGAAATCTCGTTGAAAAAGTGTAATTTCACCTAGAACACCCAGAGCAAGACCACTGAGTGCAATTCCAAACGCTCTTGTTCTCTCCTTCGAGTCTGTGTAGAAAGTCGCAATTGTTCCCATTCCTGAAGAACGAAAGAGTCCTTTTAACTTTGGGTCGTTATACGAAAAACTTTATACAAAAAAATTAAAATGATAAAACCTGAAACACTGGAACAAGCCGACCCAGCTCCTTGAATGGCTCGAGCTACCAGGAGAACACTGTACTTTTCTCCAAATGCAAAAACTACATAAAAAAATTTCGCATATTTCAATGAGTTTCACGCAAATTAATAGATTCAAGTTAAAAAATGTGTATTCTAATTACAAAAAACTTCGATATTGTACAATTATGAATTGATTATTCATCAAAGATATTTTTCACTGGAACTTATTGTTAAAGCTAAATAAAGTAGATATTTACAATGAGTTTGAAACGGTTTCCAAATTCTTGCATAAAAATTGTTTAACATCGGTTATAAAAGATATTTAGGTATAAGGTTAAGTTTATATTCCAACAGGAATTGCATGAATTTCGACTCACCAACCGTAGATATGAACATGATTAGAAATCCCGAAAACATTGGGATGGAATAGCCGATTCTGAAATAGGGGAATAGCTGACATTTTGTTTATTCTAATTTAATTTGCTTCAATAAAAGCCTAACATACGCACATATACAACCGCCAAAACTTGTAATGATATGTCACTCAAATATCATCCCATATTTGTAGATAGAACGTAAATTCATTCCATAAGCCATTAAGTACATAATTATATCTCAAAGTGGTTGAGAATTATTTTCGGACACATGAAACAGACAACTTAATGACAAAACAGAGAGTAGTCATTGGAAATGCCGAAATCCTTTGGTGACACTGGTTTGAACTGCCTCACTGGCCATTTTTCTCCAGTTTAGTCAACCTTTCATTCATAATTAACTTTATATCAGAAATTATTAACTATTCCTTTTAAGTGATGATTTGAATAGACACGCCTTACTATTTATCTCTCACTCTCTCGCATATGTTGAAATGAATTAGTGATTTACACACTCACCTGTTCGTAAGGGGTCCAATAAAGGGGTTGACTATTAGTTGGACAATTGACTTTGATGCGAACAGTATTCCTACTCTGAAGTTCTCTCTTTCCATGTGTGACTCGCGCATCTCAACAGCCAGTCTGGTGGCACTGAGATTGCAATCCGAAGCGAGCATATCAATACGCTCGAGTAGCTTACCAACTCGCTCCTTTTCAGCCGGTGAAGCCTTCGAGGGGTCCAAGAAATCCTCCATGGAAAGTGGAACATGGGCATGTCCTTAAAAAAATGATACTATTCTTAAAAGCCCTCTTTTAATAATCACTCTTTACTCCCACTAATAACAATAACAATGCCGAAAATATAAGTTAAGTAGCTTTACGAGAAGGCAAGAGAATTCATAGAACGAAGCAATGGAATTTCCCCACCTTCGGCACTTTAGATCCATTTGGAATGGGTCCTTACACAATCTTCCAGTTGGTGGAGAGAAGCATCTCCCAAAACCCATATTTGGCAGAAAAACATCATTGTCAAGATTCCACTGCCACCTCTTCTTATAAAACTGACACAGGAGGATAACTGTTGGCACACTGTGTATTGCATCTTTGGATACATATCCCACAAACTCCGACTGCATATATATATATATATATATATATACATTTGTTTTTAATTAATAAAATAGAAATTCATTTATTGTGAATAAATTGTATTCTAAAGTCTGTTCTAAGACAGTCTGTTTTTAAACCTACCAACAGTAGTAAGTAACATATTGTCGAGAAATAGAGCAATGGTCACAATCAACAGAACGAGACCATTCTAGTGAAGACTCTTCGAAGTCCATTTTAGGCTCTCTCAGAAAATCCAGTTCCTTTCTCTCCATCTTTCTCCTCTATTCTCAATGCGTTTCCTAAAACAAACGTTGAATATCAGTTTCTGATATTGTCATGCAAGTCCAAATCGAATATAAATGGGTAGACATCTATAGGTCGAAATATATTTAAACTCTCCCGTGAGAGTTGCCTATAATGCATGACACCGGCCAAATGAATTTCATGTTCTCCAAAACATTCATAAGGGTGTCACATTATTACTGATGTCGTGATTAGCAAATGCAGTGTTGGGTGCAGAGACATCTCACCCAAGCTGTGATCTGCAACCGTTTCAGTCAAATTTTGTGATGACAGTAGTTAATGCCTTGAGACTTGAAATGTCTATTTGAGCAATAATCGATGCCGTTTAATCTTACCCTCTGTCATCCTGTTTTCTTGAATTAACCATTAAATAATCATTTTAGAATCAGAATCTCGTTAGTTAAACTATGTGTACAGTTTAAAATAAACTATAGGTGCCAGAAAAACGCCTAAACACTACCCAAATTAGTTAATTTTTTCCAGTCCAATACTATTTTTGGCTTAGGAGTCAACTTGATGGGTTGAGTTTTAATGAAATGGTTCAAATAGCTACTTTCGTGAACTGGAACTCAATCTTTTTGTACTTTTGTTGATTATCTTGATTGGCGGTGGCGATTTGTATTTGCCTTCAATGTAATTAAACTAATTGATAAGTGGATCAAAGATTGATCGATAATATAGCACCTAATATTACCGCCTTACCAGATTCTGATCTCTGATATGTGTAACCATGCTTATAATCGAAAAAGACTTAATTTTCTCTTCACTAAGGATCAAACATTACTGATGTGCTGCATTAGGACAAACATCACTTTAGTCTGATTTTTAAAAAAACTACAATAGCCCCGAAAACGGCCAGAACACTTCTCCAATTGACAGCTACTTTTGGTTTCAAATATTTGACGGGTTGAGGAAAATGAAAGCAATGAAATGGTTCAAATGCATTTGCATTGTTAATTTATTTAGCTAGTCAAATTTTTACTTCGTAGTTATTAGGAAATACCTTTGAAATGTAAATAGTGTGTATTAGCACATTTTTGCTATAAGTCGCTTGAAAACTATCGATCACTAAGCTAATAATTATTATATCAAGGCCTGACAACTCTTATCTTAAATTCGAACACATAAAAATAACTGACAGTGTATTTAAACTTAATTAACTTATTAATATATAACTTGATGAAATTATAAAAAAAGAATAAATGGTAATTAGAAGCTGAAGAACAAGCATACCTAAAACGGTGGTATAGTGACCCAAGCTGTCTCCCCATTTGCCATCTTTCCTAATGAAACTTTGGGTCCCAATCTAATTGGTCGCCGTGGAATTGAAAATCATGAGCCAATAATCTTTAGGAATGCATTAAACGCTTTGGAATAAGTACTACTTATTCGATGTCCGTAGAATGTTGTGTGATGTGAGGGAAAGTGGTTGGACAATGTATTGGCAACTTGAGCTGCAATGCTCTCCATAAACCCGTTCACACTGTTGTGGGACACGTTATCGCTCTGTGCGTCATCGTATGCCTGCATGTCTGCTCGCCAGGATTGGGAGGTGCGGCCGTACAACTCTGTGTGCAGCGACCGTATAAACAGTGGCCAATCATTAACCTCTGTTTGTTTAACCTAATCCGCCAAGTTGATAAAGACAAAGCTTCCATCCTATGCGCATAACTGGCGTGTCACATCCCGAGTAGGGGTATCCCTCATCATTCGTCTCTTCCCTCTATATAGCTTGGTGATAGCTTAGCTAGTTTGGAAAGCCTAATCTGTCCTAGAGATTACTGAGTATGGTCTAGGCTTATTGGTGTAGCAATCCGCTACAACACAGTGAGACAGGAAAGTACGCTCATAATTATGGATTGAAGCATTTTAAATGAGAACCTTCATGAGTTCTTGTTTTTCTTACACAACTCAAAATAAAATACATCAGTTAAGATAATTCATTTCTTATTTATTTCAATATAAGTAATTAAATTTCATTGAAGAACTTATAGCCTACCAGCATTTACTTAGTCGAATTAATAGCACTCCGTGAAGGAAAGCGAAAAAGAGCTTTGCCAACCAAAAAAGTTCAAATTTAACTAGTGACGATTTTAAAATATGTATTTTGGAATTTTTAAATCAATTTCTAATTCCGATTTCAAAATAGTCAGCGTAAAACTTCTGATTACCTGAGAGTGTGTTAAAATTGACTTTTGTTTGGTCATCATGCGATGTTATACTCAATTGCGTGGGGTGCGCGATAGACTTACCTCCACATGGTGCTCCCTGGACAACGCGTCTTCGTACGGCAAAAAAGTCTATCACTCGGCATTCGATTTTGACTTCGATTGATTATGATTAGCTTGAAAAGAGGCTATAAGAGAAATCGCCTTCGTTAGGGCGAATCACAACGTCTTCAGATCCTCCAGTAGAATGCGGGGCGAATCACAATGTCTTCAGATCCTCCAGTGGAATGCTGCCAATAACATCGTCTTCAGATCCTCCAGTGGAATGCTGGAGGGATGTCACAGGACAAAAAGATCCAAGTCAAGAAAATCCTACACCAATGTCTTCAGATCCTCCAGTGGAATGCTGGAGGAATGTACCGGACATAAAGATCCAAGTCCAGAAAATCCTACAAACCTATGATGTAGAAATTTTCTAAAATACAGAATTATGGAAGCAATCATTTCGGATGACAAACTGAATTACTACCCATTCCCAGGTTACACCCTGTACCTTCTACCTAGCCACCAATTCCCAGGTTACACCCTGTACAATCTACCTAAAAATACAGTAATTATAAATTATGGAAGCAAACATTTAGGATGACAAACTGAAGTACTACCAATTCCCAGCTCAAATCTATGATGTAGACATTTTCACAATTATGGAAGCTACATTGATGACACTGAGAAGTATTACCAATTCCCAGGTTACACTCTGTACCTTCTAACGGCGAGTTGCAAGTGGAATTCTAACTGGAGTAAAAGAAGGAATTTGCAAGTGGAATTCTGACTGGAGTAAAAGAAGGCCTTAGGTTACACCCTGTGCCTTCTACCTAAATACCGGCAAGTTGTTACACCCTGTAGAATTTACCTAAATACCGGCAAGTTGCAAACACCCTGATGCCAAACTGAAGTACTACCAATTCCCAGGTTACACCCTGTACAACTCTACCTAAATACCGGCAAGTTGCAAGTGAGATTCTAACTCCAAACTGAAGTACTACCAATTCCCAGGTTACACCCTGTACAATAGAGAAGTATTACCAATTCCCAGGTTACACTCTGTACCTTCTAACGGCGAGTTGCAAGTGGAATTCTAACTGGAGTAAAAGAAGGAATTTGCAAGTGGAATTCTGACTGGAGTAAAAGAAGGCCTTAGGTTACACCCTGTGCCTTCTACCTAAATACCGGCAAGTTGTTAACCCCTGTACAATCTACCTAAATACCGGCAAGTTGCAAATGGAATTCTAATTGGGTAAAAGAAGGCCTCAACTCACATTACGATCTAATCAAGAGTATGGGCTCAACACAAGACAAAT